ACCTGGCATCGTCTGTGTTGGTTTCCTTTGTGTTTTATGTCCTTCTTCACAATAGTGAATGTTGAGAGTAGGAGTAGTGTTTGGTGGGTGTTGTGTTGCCATGAAAAGCTTCTAGCAGCAAATTATCTTAATAATTGTCCTTCCATCTTTCAGTTGATGTAGATCATACTAACTTGCATAATTCATTGTCAGATTTGAAACTAGATTTAGATATAATATCTATCTAACTATTATATTACAATATTATCTTATACTTAACCACTTTTAAACTTAAGTATTTAAGTGTTTTAAAAAATTACACCAGATAAATTGACTTAACGTACTATAACATTAATGTTTTTTCTATTATTAATTAATAAATTTACCATCCTTTCATAAAATAATAATAATAATGAAGAAGAGAGAAAGAAAGAGGTAGGTCCTCTTAATTTAGTTTTCATTTCACGTATGATCAAAATAGCTAATCATCATGTAACAAATATGGATAATGATTAATATAATTTTTGGTTTAATACATTTATTAAAAAATTGTTATTTTTAAATTTAAATTAAAAATGATAAAATTAAAAGTTTTATATTTAAATAACTGAATCCATAAATATTAATGAGTGTGTTCAATTAAAAGATAAATAAATAATTTTTTAACAAATAATCAACTTATTTTATAACAATTATCAACTATCAACTATTTATGATAATGATGAATTTTTTAATTATAATTAAGTTATCCCTAAATTTCAACAATTTAATTCAACGCGCAAATAAATTGAAGATATCACATCGAAATTCCATACTTTGCAACTTGAATTAAATGGTTGGATTTTAGAGACCTTGCTTTGCATAATGGGTAGAAAGAAAAGATACCTACCTAGAAATCAGATTTGACCACAAATTCCTACTAGTATAAGAACTAGACCAAATTAAATTAATTAATGACAGAAACAGGCCATTTGATTACTTGTTTGTCCTAATCACACAAGTTAAATCAGTCCCATTAAAATTCCATTGTATGACAAGAAGTCACTACACATCCTCTCTTATTTTTTTATTACTCTGTTTTTCACTTTAATCTCTCCTCTCTAGATTCCACCATCCTCAAGACCATCCTTTTCCCATGGTTCTCTTCCCCCCCAACTTCCCTCTTTGCTTCCTTTTCTATCTCCATCAAACCGTCCTTCCACCTTTTTTATTTCTTCCCTCTTCATTTCTTTATTTCGTTATCTCTTCTTTATAAACCCTTCTCTCCCTCTCTCATTCTTAGACTCCGCAAAACAAACCGCTTCTAAGCAACGTCATAGCTTGGAAAACTTCACAAACTTCACTTCTTTTTTTTGGGTTTTCTCCATGACGGGAAAGAGAAACCAGACCAGCCCTGTGTCCAGTCCTACCTCGGGTAACATATCCGACGGTTCTTCAAGGGAACAAGATCGTTTTCTTCCAATTGCGAACGTGAGTCGAATCATGAAAAAATCTCTCCCTTCTAATGCCAAGATATCCAAGGAGGCCAAGGAGACTGTTCAGGAATGCGTCTCGGAGTTCATAAGCTTCATAACTGGGGAAGCATCTGACAAGTGTCAGCGGGAGAAGAGGAAGACCATCAACGGCGACGATCTTCTGTGGGCTATGACGACGCTGGGGTTCGAGAATTACGTCGGACCCTTGAAGGTTTACCTCAACAGATACAGGGAAACTGAGGGAGAGAAGAATTCTTCGTTGTCGAAAGTGGAAGAGCCGCAGTTGCCGATGAACACTGTGGATTTTGAGCAGAGCTTTGGAGGTAATTCTGGGTTTTATTCAGTTTTTCCAAAGACTTACACCGACGAAGGAAGGGTCCTAGGGTATGGAGAGAATTTAGTGACCGCTGGCGGTGGTTTTAACATGGACATGATTCCCCGAGGTGGAGATGGTGACGATAACAGAGCTATGGCAGCGGCTTATCGCCGTCACGGCGTTCAGTGGTAAAGGACTAACTAATGGTGACGGTTTGATATGTATTACCGTTCTTGAGTTGATGTTAGTTATATGGTACCTAATTTAATTTTTAATTAAGTAGTGAGAAGATTCTATTAGTCTAATAAATTGAGAGAAGCCTTTGAAGAGTTGCATCGAGCATGAATCATATGTGTTAAGAATAAGTTGTTCTCAATTACTTTTATATATTCTTAGTCAAAAGGTAAATCTTTTTTGATTTTTGGCCAACCGTACATATGGATGTTTAGTTTTGAAATTCTCATAATTCCCAACTACAAAATACTTTTTTACATTCTTTTAAAGTACTTCTACAAACTAATCCATACAATATGAAATATATATATATATATATATGCCTCATTTGTAACAAAATTGAGTTTTATTTGCGATTTACTGCATGTTTGGATTTAAGAGAAA